TCAAGAATATTTTTTGGCTGTTTGATATCAGACAGTCATTTCATTAACCTCTGCATCAGAATGCTCAATTTAAATACAAGATGGCTGTGTCTATCTCCATGACAGACTGACTGTATATGTGAGCAGGCAGGGGTGTGCGTACATGAATAAACGATGGTGTATGTACATACATATACACATACATATGTACATATGTGCATTTGCTTAATTTTTTCTCTTACTCTTTGATACAACGCACACTGGTGCAATAAAATATCGTGTTTCTAGATGGAATACACTTGTGGTGTGAGGGACAGGAAGGCTTGAAAGGGCCCAATGTAAGACAGGCATGCCCAATCTGCGACCCTTTAAAAATCAATTTTGGTTTGCTATTTCAGAGCTTACTATTAAGTGCCTTGAAGCAAAAGCTTCATAATGGACAGGCAGTTAAAGTAAAGGATGCTTTGTACTGAAACAGTTAACACAATTCTGTCAGGAATCTGTCTAGAAGGGTGACCTTGACAAACTATCAAAACACCCAAACATGAAATGTTAAAGTTAGTCAAATATCCCTTTCAAGATGCTGCAAGCCAAACCAACCCCCTCCCCAGCTTTCTAAACATCACTATGCCTGAAATTATTGCAAAGTAGCCTGCTGTCAAATCTCCTGCAGTTTAAATGAACCCAACATGCCAGAATTATTAAACTGCCTTCATGATAACCTATAAGCCCCAGATGCTGGCAAATATTTAACAACCACCAGTCACTGCGGGACTTTAGTTGTATCCCTAAATAGGATCCCACCATGCTAGCAAGGCTATGTCTGGTTTGAATTAAGCATTGTTTACTTTAAAGTTTCTCCCTCAAAGTTGGAATGCATTAGCTGAAGAGGCGAGGAACCAACAGCCTGCTTATATAAAAAAGTCACATCTCTATAATGAATCTTCTTTGGTCGTCACACTGATACCAGGTTGTAGTCCAGTGTCGTGGTTTTCAGTATTTGTCATGCGCTTCTCAGGTGGCTTGAGTGATGGATTTGTTCATCTTTTTGCAGGTTTCAGCTCCACAGTTCGTCCATATCTTTCTTGGTCTTCCTCTCGCCTTCCTCCCAGATGTTCTACTGTAAAGTCTCATATGCAGTCTGGTCTGGCTGCATTCTCACTAGATGGGTGAACCAATTCATTCTTTGCCTGTCAATATAATTCAGACATGGTTTTATTCCAATTTTCTCTATATTTTTCTGGTATTCGTAACCCTGTCTTGTCCAGTGTTGTTAGTGACCTAGCAAAACATTTCACATGTTGTTATTTTCTGCTCTAGTGCCTTGAATGAATGCGCATGCAAAACTCTTAGAATAAGACCTATGTCCAGAAGTGGCTGAAAACCAGGATCTTCCCCTGCTTCTCCAACAATCATGTCATAAGAGTGGACTGATTGGGGGCTTCCTTTGAAGTCAGAGTACATCTGCTCAAGAGGCAAGGAACCAAGTGGAACCAAGTCTGCAATAAAAAAAAAAGTCAGATCTGTAAATTGGGTGTATCTGCAGCACCCAGCCTATAATCTGAACAAGACTAACGTGGAGAGGTGGCCAAACAACCAGAACTTTTTGCTGCAGTTTACAGCTGGTGAATGTGAACAACAAAATCCAGTGAACTTGAAGAAGACTTGTAAATTTTTAGTAATAAAGGCAAACCAAATAAAATTTTACCAACAACCTCAACAAAGATTAAAGAGTCAGATGTAGTGAGCTCACATAGTTAAGAACAATGGATGGGTCTTGCAGACCATGCCACATGTGCTAGCGATGCACTAAGAAAACTCCAGAGAATATATTCAGGACTGTCCTGAACTTATTATATGGAGCAGATCTGGATCACAGGAGCCACCATACAAGACAACTATGGTGCAACTCTGCAGATCTCAAGGCATAATATGTTTGTATGTAACCCATCTGGAACAGAAGTTCAGGAAACATAACCCATCTGGAACAGAAGTTCAGGAAACATAACCCATCTGGAACAGAAGTTCAGGAAACATAACCCATCTGGAGCAGAAGCATCACATGCAGGCCTTGCTATGTGCTACGTAAATGATGGTATTTAAAACCTCAGATATTCCATCTATCCATCGCTTGCGTTTTCGATCTCTTGGTGTGCTTCCATGATGTCAAACTGACAGGACTCTCCATGGTTTTATGTATCAGTCAGATTGCTACTCTTTTAGTCTTAATAGCTCATGACATGTCAGTGACTATCCCTTAAAAAAAAACCACATAAGTGCAATAAGTCTTCTCTTTAAAAAAAATTATGTTTTCTTTAGCACACTACAAAAATCTGGCTTAATTAGCGTCCAATTCTAGTGTATAGTTAGCTAGTTTAAAAGTAATTTATTTACTGTAGTTTTCCCATATACCTGCAAAACAGCCAAACACTGAAAGATTTAAACAGAATAAGTATGTTTATCTACTAAAGCTTCATGTTGCACACATCTGACTTTTTTTCTCTTCAATATTTAAAGGACAAAAAGTTTGCCCCTGACAGTAACTTTCTGAGCGGCTCACAAAGAATCATAAGACAGACTAACGATAGAAAGTCTGCCATGAACTTTCTGAGCGGCTCACAAAGAATCACAAGACAGACTAAAGATAGAAAGTCTGCCCTGAACTTTCAGAGCGGATCACAAAGAATCACAAGACAGACTAACGATAGAAAGTCTGCCCTGAACTTTCAGAGCGGATCACAAAGAATCACAAGACAGACTAAAGATAGAAAGTCTGCCATGAACTTTCTGAGCTGCTCACAAAGAATCACAAGACAGACTAACGATAGAAAGTCTGCCCTGAACTTTCAGAGCGGATCACAAAGAATCACAAGACAGACTAAAGATAGAAAGTCTGCCATGAACTTTCTGAGCAGATCACAAAGAATCACAAGACAGACTAAAGATAGAAAGTCTGCCATGAACTTTCTGAGCAGATCACAAAGAATCACAAGACAGACTAAAGATAGAAAGTCTGCCATGAACTTTCTGAGCGGCTCACAAAGAATCACAAGACAGACTAACGATAGAAAGTCTGCCCTGAACTTTTAGAGCGGATCACAAAGAATCACAAGACAGACTAAAGATAGAAAGTCTGCCATGAACTTTCTGAGCGGCTCACAACGAATCACAAGACAGACTAACGATAGAAAGTCTGCCCTGAACTTTCAGAGCGGATCACAAAGAATCACAAGACAGACTAAAGATAGAAAGTCTGCCATGAACTTTCTGAGCAGATCACAAAGAATCACAAGACAGACTAAAGATAGAAAGTCTGCCCTGAACTTTCAGGGCGGATCACAAAGAATCACAAGACAGACTAAAGATAGAAAGTCTGCCCTGAACTTTCTAAGCGGCTCACAAAGAATCATAAGACAGACTAAAGATAGAAAGTCTGCCCTGAACTTTCTGAGCGGCTCAGAAAGAATCACAAGACAGACTAACGATAGAAAGTCTGCCCTAAACTTTCTGAGCGGATCACAAAGAATCACAAGACAGACTAAAGATAGAAAGTCTGCCCTAAACTTTCAAAGAGATCACAAAGAATCACAAGACAGACTAATGATAGAAAGTCTGCCCTGAACTTTCTGAGCGGTTCACAAAGAATCACAAGACAGACTAAAGATAAAGTCTGCCGCAAATTTTCTGAGTGGCTCACAAATGAAAAGACAAAGACACAAGACGACATTTAAAATACAGTGTTCCTACATCTCTTAAAAATGACTTGCCATATTCATCCCTACACCCACATTTCTGCAGAACCAAATTAAAAAACACACAATATGGTATGTTTCTAAAAAACAGGGAAAACTCAACAGGAACTACAGCTTTAAAAGCAACCAGGCAAAGAATGTATTCAAATTTACCATGGACACATACAATAAAAGTCGACTGATTCAGGACTGGCTGAAATTGGATGTGTTCTGCCAAAAGGTAGGTATCTGTAAAACACAACATAATGTGCCAAATGAAAATCCCCCTTTAATAATGAAAGTAGAAGCAGAAGAAAAACATAATCCAAATTCAGCTATTTACACGCTCTCTCTAATATTCTACTTAAATTGCGAGGGGAACAAGTATACATTTATTGTGGGCCACAAATGCAGTCGGCATCAATCAAGGCAGCACAAGGATATCCCAGGCTGTGAAGACACTGCATGCAACTCTAGCAAAGGATAGAAAGCATAAAGCCAGACACAAACACAATTCCATGACACAACTCTCTGAAATCAGGATATTGTGTACAGTCTTCAAGGTAGCACCTGTTTTGGGGTTTAACATATGTACAATAACAGTGAATTTACTCAGCATACACAGACAGACAGACAGACGAACGAGAAACTTAACAGAAGAAGGAGAGAATAAAAAACAAGAGACAGAAAAGGAAGAGAGTCAAAGAAAGATAAGGAACAGTCGAACATAAACGGCAGGAAGAGAGAGAGAGAGAGAGAGAGAGAGAGAGAAAGAGAGAGCAAAAGAGACAGACAAAAAAGGAAGTGAGAAGCAGAAAAGAGAGGGAAAAGTGAGAAAAGAGAAAGACAAACGGGAAAGAGGGAGAGAGACAGCGACAGAGAGAAAGGGAAGAGAGGCAGAGCGAAATGGAAGCGAGAGAGAGGTTCATATGTAAACTATGAAAATCAAGCTGACACACCACTTTGCAATCAAATATGATTCCACCAGTAAAACAGCAATCAAGAGTTCAAATACGAGAGTGTTCAGGCAGAGACTGAAACAGCAACTTTAGATGAGCATTAACTAAAGTCACAAGACCAGAAACTAAAACATTACAAAATGTAAATACAGTTCAGGAAAGGAAGGAGAAAACCTGCAATCTGGGGAGGGACAGTTTTACATGAGCTTTTTTTTGTTGCTGGCCATTTAACCTTAAAAAATGCAACTGTTAACGAAAATAAAGTCCAGGTTAAATTTGAACATTGATGTTCTGTTTTGTCGATAAATGAACACCCTTAAAATGACACGCTTCACAATCCTGAAGAATGTCTCCTCTCCAGCTGCTGTTCAGAGTAGTTTTTCCTATCCTTGTCTTCCACATCGAAATCTAGCACCATCAGTTTGGTCTCTTCTGTTCCGTTTCGGCTTCCGACTGCACACACTAGCCTGGTATTTGAACAGCGCAGACGCCAAACTACCCCGCCGCTGCCACCACTTTCCAGTGTCACTAGGTTTCGTAGAAACTCCCCAGTCTTGAGGTCCCAGATTTTCACAGTGCCATCATCCGAGGAAGTAATCACAAACTTCTTGCTGAACTGCAAGCAGGTGACAGCACTCTGATGTTTATTTGGTCCTGAAGAAATGATCAAATCAAAGAATTAAAATGCAAAGTTATTATTATAATAAAGCTAAGAATCAAATGCACCAGTGTGTTTCAATGGTTCTGCTTCTTTGTGTTCATACTGGAAGAGAGGTTTATAGACACATGGCTAGCCCTGATCCTAATTGACAGCATTAACCATTTAAGGGGTCACGACAGGAAAATTTTTTTTTTTTTTTACTTACAATGTTAGACCAATTATTTTATAATAGTCATTTGTAGGGATGTATGTTAATACATTTGTAGACTTCAAGTGTAAAAAAAACATGGTTGCCATTTTGATGAAAAAAAACATGTACTTAGACAGCTAAAATTTCAAAAACAAACAGAGGTATTGAGAAACAGATGATTGATTCATAAACTTTAAACCTATGTTCAGGGTCAGGTCTAGTTTTATATTTACTTCAAAGATGTTTTGAAACATTTTTGTTAGAATATTAAAATTTAGGTATGATGAAAAAAGAAAAAAATGTCGCTGTTTAAGATAAAAAAATTTTTTTTTTTTTAAAATTACTTAATAAACTGTGATTTCAAATAGACCTGACCCTATATTATTGTATTAATAGTATCCACACCAAATTTCACGTCTCTAGTCCTTATATTAGCTGCGATTTTAGAAGATCCCACACACAACAAACAGAAAAAAAGAATTGTTAGAAAAGTGACTTTTAAACTTTTTTTTATCCTAAAAAAGTGCATGGGTTTGTGTCTTTAGTATTACCTTTTCAAAGCTAAATTGTTTACCAACGACACAAATTTTGTCTGTAATCTATTCTACGAATGCCGAACATTACAAAAATGAACATATTAAAAAAATTATATTTTTGTCATAAATTAGAAAAAAATGCTGTGTAGTGACTCGTTAACAAGAAGGGACCAGGTCACCATCTTCAGACTCAGGACACAACATTATCCACTTAATGGACACCTAAACAGAATACAGCCACAACACTACTTAGAGTGCCAGCTATATAACTACCTCTACGAAACTGTTGACCATCATCTCTTTGAGTGCCCAAAACTCAACGAGACTAGAAGAATGCTACTCCCTCCGAGACCAGACAGGTTGAACACCTTGTATGGAGGAAAAGAACAGCTTGTAAAAACATGTAAATTCCACTACATTGCATTGGGCCAAAGCTCATGTGCCGCTGGATCAATAACAACAACTTTGTGTTCATCAGTGTTTTAGGTATTTCACACATTCCAACCAGATGGCCAGACAAAACTTGATAGCAGGGCTCCACTTATTTACAGCAATCTATTCCTTCAAAGTTGTAGTACATCTGCTGGTGAGGCAGGGAAGGGCAAACAAATAAGCCAGTAAAATGGATGTATTCGCAAAACTCAGGTCCAGGTAAAAGCCAAAAGTAAAAACAGCCAAACTACTGGGACCTACCGCCGGAATTCACAACCAGTGAAAGAAAGAAGAAAAAAAGCAATTTCATCACTGTGGGCACCGTATAAAACTAATACCAAAGTTTAGCCTGTGCAATAAATGCCTGCAGAAGTCAGATGTATTGGCTGAAAGGTGCAAATATCACAGCCATGATGTAAACATGCACAATACAATTATATCCTCAGAAGAAGGGGAAGAAGACTCTGCGTTAGTTTCATATAATCTCAGGGGGAAAAAAGCTATACATTCTCACTGTACATCATAGATATATGGCTCTCACCAGCCTACTTATGGCTTCTACAGATGAGTGACCAGAAACCACACAGTAGAAAAGTCACTGAAACTCATCAGATCCTCTCAGTCACAGATTAATGACGAGTATCGAATATATGTAATAACTTGACAAATGGGTTTACTTCTCAAGTGGGTTCCGGAAAACACACACACACACACAGATAAAACCGTTTCCCTAAGAAGCACGTCATACAAGGCAATTAATAAGGGGAGTTTCCTTTGAAGTCGGAGTGCATATGCCTAACAGGTGAGGAAACACAGGTATGCTTACAAAAAAGCCAGATTTATAAAATGGATGTGCCTACAATACTCCACTTCTGGAACAAGACCAAAGTCTTAAAGTGGACAAACAATCTATGATGTGGGCTCCGAAAAAAACAGACCCACCACTTCCCTTAGAAGCATGTCATACAAGGACATTAATTAGGGGAGTTTCCTTCGTAGTCGGAGTGCATATGCCTGACAGGAGAGAAATCAACAGTCTGCATACAAATAAGTTAGATATGTAAAATGGATGTGCCCACAAAAGTCAACTTCTGGAATAAGACCAAAGTCCAGAAGTGGACAAACAACCAGAATTTCCCCCCAGAATTTACAGCTGGTGAACCCAAAGAAAAAGAAGAGCCCTACTCTAAACTAGACAAACAGAAACACCAGTTTGCACTCACCTTGTAATGTCTGCAGACACTGCCCAGTTGTGATGTCCCAAACTTTCACTGTCGAGTCAGCATTACCAGACACCAGGATGTTATTTTTCAGCTCCAGACCACTGGTCAAGGACTGGTGACCGATGAGTGTTTGGAGGCAGTTGCCAGACTCCACATCCCAGACACGAATGGATGTGTCAAGGGAACCACTGACCACATGGACACCATCAAACTGAAATTGGTGATCAATAAAGCATGAGAGTTTGTACACTGATTTCTACACAAATGGGCTCCAACGGCTCTAGGGGGGGGGGGGGGGGGGGGGGGTGCAAGAATAGACACACAGCCTCCTTAACTAGCAAGTTGTCTGAGGTCACTTATTCGAGGATACTTTCGCAGTCAGAGTGCATCTACCTGGGAGGCAAAGAACCAACAGTCTCCATACAAATAAAACCAACAGTCATCATACAAATAAATCAGATCTGGAAAATGAATGTGCACGCAACACTCAAGTTCTGGGACAAGACTACAGTTTAGAAATGGACGAACAACCAGAACTTTCCACCGGAGTTTACAGCCGGTGAACGAGAAGCAAAAGTAGTATACTCATTTTTTTTTGGGTATTGCTGTTTCTGTCACTATTATTTTTACAACTTTTAAACATAATAAAAAATGAAAAATATGCTTTAAACCCACCACCTAGAGTATAAAAATTAAAACATTTTTCTCGAATGCCGAATCGGTACAGTTGTGAGCATCTGAAACACTAAGAACTCAAAAATTACTTCCCTGAATACTGTGCGGTGAGGCCCTAATCTCTTCTTAGCGTGAAACTTGCATTGGTGTTCAGAAAGGTTTTGTTGTTAGAATCAAACCATTACCCTTGGATGCTGAATCATAATTTGTTAGTTGCATATCCTTTACAGTATGTTGCAGATTTAACCCCAGCATTCTTTTGTGCTGTTGAAATTGTTCTAGGCCAATTTTATTTTAAGTAGTTTACCATTACCACTGAACAGTCAGTTCTCGGTGCCACTGTCGAAAACAATGCAAGACAAACTGTCCACAGCTGGAATCGAACCCGGGATTACAAAGCGCACTCCCAAGGCCTAAGCCACAGACAGTACTGGGAACCCTAGAGCTCGAAGATAATTAAATTGTCAAACGCATTCATTAACCTCTAAACTAAGCATAAAATATGTTCTGCAAGCGTAAACTGCATTAACAGAGACAGAAACTTACCTGTAAGGAATAAACTCTGTTGGAATGCCCTTGTAGAGTGTGCAAGCATGCCTCAGTTTCTGGGTCCCATACCCGCACTGTGTAGTCGTAAGCTCCACTGACAACACGCCTGCCATCAAACTGTACACACCTCACAGCAGCCACATGCCCCATAAGAATATGCTTACATGCACCCGTTTCTATGTCCCAAACTCGCAGAGTAGCATCCCTGGAACCACTTACAACTCTGAAAAACAATAATAAAGATAAAAGCGTTGAGGACTGATGGTAAAAAAAAAAAAGCAAATAGTTCAATACTTGAATGGAGGTGCAAAAACTGTAATTATCACTTCTGTGGTGTAAGGGAAAAAAAGAGTGTCACTGAGCCTGAGGATTTAAGGCTGCATGGCTTGTGATGTCACCATGGACTTCCACTGACAGAAAAAATCTACAACTTTGTGGAAGATTTCAATTCAGGTCTCCCGATGAGAACCCAGCTTTCTTATTCTTAACAGTTCGGCCAGCAGTTCAAGACAAGTGACTTGATTCTGGTGACCGTGCCAGATGATGAAACATGACAGCCTACACTTATCAGAATGGCACACAATAATGATGATGATTTGCTGTAGATCATTATTATGTGGGATCTCAAGCATCTCTGACAATTATGTCTCTCCACAACCTGCAATCTCCAACAACGTGTATCAGCGCATGTGCTGACTCCCTTCCGTACCATGACAAAGATTTGTCTTGCTGTCTTTCTCTATCTTTTCCCATAAATCTTTGGAGCTGTAATAACATGCTTCAGTTTTTCTCTTTTCCCAACATAGCCCAAAAACAATCTGATGTTTGTGATAAATTATCTTCATGTCTTAGCATTTTTCAAAGAATGATTTTGGCTGTAAAAGGAATTTTAAGCCATCTTCTGTAAAACCAAAATTTAGACCTGGCTCTAGATAATTGTGAAGAACTTTCTTTCACAGCTATGTCAGTGTTCATCTAGCCCACTGGCTCGCCGGTAGACAACTTTGTCACAGCTATGTCAGTGTTCATCTCGCCCACTGGCTCGCCGGTAGACAACTTTGTCACAGCTATGTCAGTGTTCATCTCGCCCACTGGCTCGCCGGTAGACAACTTTGTCACAGCTATGTCAGTGTTCATCTCGCCCACTGGCTCGCCGGTAGACAACTTTGTCACCAGCTGGGATAGTATTTGAGTATGCCTTTTCTGATGGCATTAACACTACAGGAGCCATTTTCAGGGCTGAGCCATTTTAAATAGCGCATAAAACCTAGTCAAAACTATAACTTGAAGTTACCCCTTTGGGGATGCTGGTTCAATTTGACGATTATTGATGTTTTTTCCCCTCAGCAAAGCACCTGCCACCTCTTTCCCAGCTAAAAGGACACGCTGCACAGAATATTTATGAAAATCGGTCTCATAATAAAATAAACCTAAATCGCTGTGTGGGTTCCAGGGCTCCATTTTAGTAACAAACAGAACCACTGGCCCTCACCTAACAAGCATGTCATAAAATAGGAACTAATTAGACATTAGCTGAAATCTGATGTATTGGGCCTCAATGAGCACTAATGAAACCTTCACCACCATGTCTCACAACTTATTTAGGAAAACAAACTTTATCCCTCTATATCCATTGGAGCACTGGCTCTCAACCAACTCACATCAAGGCGTCCTCTCTCTGTCATCAGCTGATTCTAAGAGTGTTATACAGCCATCTTGATATTCCTATCGACTTATTTTCCTTTCTTCATTCTTCTTTTTGTAACATTTATTCTAACTTGACAAGATTCGCCAGAATATGCTAGTCAATAAATTAGTTGTTTCTCCCCACATTACTTAATTCTTTTTCTTTGTTTTTATTTAAAACTAATAAACCTTTAATTTCCCTCCTTTTTCCAGCTGGAGAACTGCTCTAGAATGTTTTCTTGCTTGCAGCTGACTTCGTTTCTCTAGACAACACTCATCTTTGTTCTCTTCAGCTGACAAATGTTTGTATTATCTTCGGTTCTGACTTCCAGAACTGAAGTACATGGTTAGAGTTAGGTGAATTCTTGTTAAAATAAAACATGCAAGAAAAAAGGATTTGAAACAAAATGATTACTTACTCGTTGCCATGTAAGGACATGCACCTGACAGTGGAAGAGTGACCATATAAGGTGTGCCTGCACTGACCAGTTTCAGCATTCCAAACTTTCAGTGTCCGGTCAGTTGAACCACTAATAACCACTGTACCTGACATTTGTGATGACCACACACCTCCAGTATGGCCAATCAAGGTTCGCAGACACTGAAGATGTTCAAATAAATTATTGTTAGTAAATCAACATATAAAACAAAGTAAAGGTCTCTTATCCCCGCCTTTAGGTGTATTGAGAATATAGAGCTAGACCTTTATTTTTATAGACAAATCGGCACTTGGTGGGTGATGTGGTCAGTTGCACGCCGACCGCCTTCATTTCCCAGGACTGCAGCTGGTACCCATCCAAGGAGTCAAGGTCCTTTTTAAAACAAAAACAAAAAAGTCGGCTGCGCCAGAATACAAACACACGACCTTCCAATTCGCAGGCAGGTGTCTTGCCGCCAAGGCCCCAGCAACTCCCAAATCAACATAAACTTTGTTTGAATCACTGGCATCTGGGATAAAACTGGTAAATTTTGGAGGTCCTCTTTAGTTTTTTAACTCACTGGACCTGCATTCCCTTCTTGATGGGTTGTGCAAGGGATAGCCTTGCTGGACATGTTAAGCGATTTGTGCGCACAGCCAATATGGGCAAAGTGGTAAACTATTCAGACAAAGCCTGTGTATTTGCTTGTTAAGTTCATTATGTCCTGTCCTAAGGTGTAGAATGATGACCTCTTCATACCGGCCAAGTAGTTGTAGTTGTTGTCACTGGTCTGATTCTGTTCCCTTCTGACAGACTAGATACCTATCTCTATACCTATCGCTATACTACAGCATTGTCACCCTGTTCACATTCTTCGGTGGAGGCAAAGAAGTAGAATATTTGAAACAAATTAATTTTAATAATGCAGATACAAACAATACATTGCACAATTTATTGCCAGGCGTATTTTGCTGTATCTTATCAGGTGCGTTGATATTCAAAACAATGTTTTCCCATAATGAATTTAAATAATGCGGATACAAACAATACATTGCACAATTTACTGAAAGGCATTTTTCGCTTATCATCATCAGGTGGTAAGTCATGTGACTACGGTTAGCTTCCGGCGGTCATGAAACAGAAACAATGTATCTGAAGAAACTTCGCATTTCAGTTGAACTTATTCAGTTTTGTGCTTTATTTTATGTTGATGTAACTCTATAGTAAGGCACCTGATGAGATACAGTGAAATATGCCTGGCAATAAATTGTGCAATGTATAGTTTGTATCTGCATTATACAAATGTTTTCATTAAATATCCTAGCAAAGCTGGGAAATTAAATCTGTTACTCTATGGGGGTTTTTTAAATTAAAAAAGTAAACGTACTCAAACAGCAGATACAGTCAACAAGACAATTCTCACAAATGTAACTTCCCATGACAATACCTCCTATTCTGGGTCAACCTGGAAGAAATAACTTGTCACAAGAAGAATATTCGGTACTAATCATGAAAGTCACCCCATCTTGTTGAGGCACAAGATTTTGCGGCTGCTCCCACAGGCTTTCATTTGTTCTAGGGTGTTATGAGATGCCTTCCTTCCCCGTCTACACACACCGTGGTGAAAACAGGCTCGTGTTTGTTTGAGGGTGTCGACACCGCCTCCCAGATGAAACTGTGCAACTTTTTTGTTGCAATTCTCTTTTCTGTAAACGACTGCTGTGTCTCAAATGTGCTGTTGCTGTGACTAGCCCAATGGCCTGAAGAAGTACAGCAGGGGAAGAATGAAGGCGCGGCGGTCCATGAGTATCGAATCATTTTTTAAAGGGTATTTTTATGCTTGATGGCGTTGGCAGTTGTCGTCAGTGGATATGCTTTGAATGTTCAAAACAAACACCATCTGACACCCCTAGAACATAGGACAGCCCATTCTACTGAGTGCTACAAACACACACAAATGCAATCAGGCAGACAAAACAAACGTTTCAAGGAAAATGTCAAAATTCTGCTAGACGTTTGATCCTAATCGAATTAGTCAACAAAGCAGAATAATAATTACAACAATTATATGTCCCCATACTTTAAAAAAAAGTCATGGCAGAGTAGCAGCTAGATGCTCTCCTGTCAGTCCAGGAGTTCAAATCCGCACAAAGGAAAAAAACCTGGGGCCCAGGTCACCCCAGTTTAAAATGGGTTCCACGTAATGTCCTCAGAAATAAAGGGGCTGGCGTTGTGTTGACCATATACCCATTTTGTGCTGACTGGTCAATAAAATATAGCTCTAGCACTATTTGCCCGATGCACCAAAGGCATGAAAAAGGTCCTAATTTACTCACACACACAGAACACGTGTGACACATATACAGGAATAAAATCCACACGTAACGTACCTTGCCAGATGTTACAGACCACACTTTGAGAGTGTTATCATCGGAACCACTGACTACTCTGTTCCCACAAAACTCCAGACAGGTAATGACATGATCATCATGCCCTTTTAGACACTGAAAAAAAAATAATAATAACATACATAAAAAATATATTCTTAAAAACTCATTTTTAAAAAGTGCCTTTTATATTTGTGTAATAATCTTCCAATGAAATATTACTTTCAAGGTGTATGTAACTTGTACACAAAGTTAACAAATAGGAGTAAACCACGAGGCAGACCAAGAAGATAGTGGACAGGCAGACTTGTTACAAACACTTGGAGTCACCAACTGGAAAGAGAAAGCCAGCCATACTTCAGTATGCACAGGAAATAACAGCTATTTACCAGCTCCATGCCAAGACGCTAAATCACTTCCACACAACAGAAAACTAATAAATATCAAATGGCAAGACAAGACCTAATGATACTGCCATACCTGAGACAAGTGGCTGACCCAGAAATGACTAGTAATTGGGAAAGCATGTTGTCCACATATCAAACAGATCACTTAATGCCCAGTGTAATATTCTACAGTAATACAATTTTTTTTTTAGACTAACGCAGACAAAAAGTTTCAAAAACAATATCCAGATCTTATTAAAGACGTTCTGGGGGGAAGAGGGGGGGGGGGGGGATCCTGATATCTGGGGGGTAACCTATTGCTCACCTCTTTGCTGTGGAGGCAGCCAGAACTGCAACCGTCATTCAACATAGACAAATAAGAAGACCCAAAACTGAATTCCTCAACTGATGTAGCCTTATCTCCCTGCCTACAGCCCCAAGATCATCCCAGGTCACAATTGGCTTAGAAGGGAACCCTTTTTGGGCCAGTGGCACCGTAGGCACTGATAAACTATTTCTTGTAGAACAGCCAGCAATCAGTGGGTTTTATGGTCAACACCATGCTGGTCTGTTTGTTGGTACCTTTCCAGACTGTGCTGCCAGAGACCTACTTTTCTGCCATCGGGGCAAGAAAGCCCGGCAGATCCATGACAGAAAAAGGTCTATCCCTAAACACAATTGACCAACACAGTGAGAGCATACACACCAATCTTTAATGCAGTTCACAATAATCAAAGCGGCAGTTCACTTGGGCAAAAGTGGTTTGCGTTACCAACCCAATTACCCACCTGCCCCTACAGTACCGCACCGGCCTTACGGCTGTGACCAGGGTCTGAACCTACAGACTCCCTTAAAGCTCTTTCCGACACTACTGTGCCTTACACTTGGACCGCGGTGCTACCGCACGTCTGGCCAGAGTCAGTGGACAGACCATGTTACGTAACCAGATCAACCCTTCAAGGACCGCCTCGCTACCGTCTAACTAAATACATAAATGAATACTGTTATAAATACCCGTAATAACCTACCTCTTGCTAACACAGACTAACCCACGATTTATTCTACTGTCATGCTAACACGAAGCTACCTGTCGCTAATATCAGTCACAACATAAAAACATCTGTAAAAACAACAACGTCCTGTCCCCAAGTTTCTCTCTCTCCAACCCCCGCACCGCTCACAACTGAAAAGACCTCTCAGGAAAATCTGTTGCTTCATCACCTTTGTTCAGTCACAAGTCCACTATTTATCACCATCATATGTAATCATTCCATAGCCACACAGGACCCTGACAGCCAGTGATAAGTCTCCTCCACTCCATAGCATAAAGCTTGAGCAGTATTGTACAGACCATGTGTCACCCATGCAGCAAGATACTTCTCTTAGCCTGCCTTGTTTACCCCACTAATTAGTTTGAAATACGACATCAAAAGCAGTGTTTTGTCTATCTGCCTATTGGAGCTTCCCTTCAAGAATAGCCGCCAACCAAGGGCCTGGTCTGTCCTGCATAACATTAAGTTTTCAGGTTGAACTTTTAGGGGTCTTAGGATTAAGCTGTAACCTTCCCAATGTGTTCCACTGCTTGAAGCGGTTGATACCATGTGGGATATCAGGTTTGGTAACAAATTAAAACAACCATAAAATAAAAAGTTGCCAAGAATCTCCTATCACCATCTTTCTCTATTTTTCCCTGCTCAAAAATCTTTGTGTTCTAGTTTACTTCTCAAAATGTGGCAAAAGGAGACACATGCTTCTTTCAGATGTTTGTAATTAGTTTTCACCACATTAGATAACTCATTTTGCCAGCAAAAAAAAAAAAATTCTTCTGTAAACCACATACATTTTTAAAGAACATTTTAAATTTACTAACTGCCCAGGACTCATAGCCATATTTTAACTCTGGCTAAAATAATATATATGAGGAAAAAACCCATGAGAAACACATCCATATATGCTGGCAAAAAAACCATGACAAACTTTGAACTAAGACCTAGTTCTTACCTTAGGAGGACGATTAACACCAGTCCTCCAGTTATACTCTATCTGTGACTGACGCATGAAGAGAGACTTGTAAGGGCTACGTGCAGAGTGCCGGCGACGCATACGTGACCCGTACACCATTTCCTCATCCACGCCTTCCTCCCGACACTTCTCTCGCCACAGTAAATTATCTTCTGCAAGAACTCGCCAGTATCGACAAGTCTGAGCTGCCCTAAGAAGGTCTCTTGGTTCCAGGAATGACAAAACATATAAAGCCAACTGAAATGGGAAAAAAGTTTAAATTTCAATTGCAAAAATATAATATCAATAAAATATACAAATTTGCAGGACATCAGAAGCCCCTTTTGGCAGTGGTGAAACATTGCAAGCTAGCTTGGTTCGGGCACGTGGTGAGACATGATTAGATTGCAAAGACTGTACTTCAAAAAAGTTGAAGAAGAGTACTGCAAAGAAGAAAATGGAATGATAACATCAAGAAATGGACAGGACTAAGTTATCATACACTTATTCATCAAGCGTAAGACAGAGAAAGTTGGCGGTTTTTATGTGCTAGTGCTTCCATCGACACACACCCACGACCCTAATAGGTCAAGGGTTATGTTATGTTACTAGTATCAATTATCCCTATGTGGATTGCAGATCTGCATTTAGGGGAGAAAATTATAGGCCCATTGTCATGCCCTCAAAAACTGTAGTAAAAGGTAACAAATTAAGGGTTTAGCCACTGTGATGTAGAGACTAGACGCTCACCTGAGATCCTAAGTCAGGGGTTCAGATCCAGAGGGAGCTGGACGTTTTGTAAAATGACCCTGGCTCCAGCTTGTCCCAGCCTTAAATGGGCACCAGACAAAGTCATGGAAAGTAAAAGTGACCGGCGTGCTGTTGACCACATTGCCAACTGGTCTATAAAATATAGGTCTACCCCAATCTGCCGGAAGGTGTGGAAAAGTGTCCCTTACTTTAATTAACAGGGTTTGCTGGAACTGGATGTGTCGGGCTAAAGGTGCAGATACTGCAGAGTAGCTAGCTGTACATGACAAGAAATGTGCCAAATGCCTATTTAAGGTGGCAAGCAGAAGTATCCATCACAATTATGGTAAGTATTTTTATATAATAAGTAATATACATTCAATACAAGAACGAAGACTAGTAATTTTCTTGAAAAGTATAACATGTTGATATGGTTGATTGAATTTCAAAAGCTCACATTTATTTCAACACTCATTTCCTCAATCCATTTCTTTTCCATTTTAGTGAGTGTTTGGTGATTATTTAAATATTTCTCCACAGGATGAGCTAAATATACTACCGCATTCTTTGTCTTATAACTGATGCTACAAGCTGCTGTTCAGACACTTCTTTTATTTTTTCACTTGTTTGTATTCATCCCATTTAATGCTAGAAATACATGCAAAATGTAAAAATAAACATCCAATGTACTAAAGATTCATACTGTATGGCATAAAGATGTTTTCTGGATTTCCCCAACTATGCAGCAGAGTAAGCATATCACAGCCACTGCAGATGCCATTAAGTATACATTGGGAGCTTTCCACATTGACCTCCCAGGGCTAGAAGAACTGCATTGCTGTGTGTGCAGAAGAAAAGCTTTCTTCCTGAGGCCATTACAATCATTGATTCGTGGTCTGGGCCTTTCTTACTATCATCATCATTTCTCCTTTAGAAAATGACCCTCACTCGACACATCTTCATCTATCATCAGTGACTGCTGTTGTGGTCTTTGCACAAATCTTTTACTGCGTGTCAACAGCATTAAGATCCATTCTGCAGTGCCTGTGGCTAAAGTGCAACATCTATATTTGACAGGAAGCTTTTCCTGAGCCAGCACCAAACGGTTAACATCATAATTATAACAACAAACCTCTTTTGGCAAAAGGGAGATGAAGTCTCGTTGGAACTGTGGTTCTATGACCTGCATCATGTGCCTGACTTGCGTGGGGTCACAGAGATTGATCAGTTCATCAACTGCCATCATCCTCTCAGCATTACCCCATCCCTGTACAAATCATACATACAACATGAAACATAATCAACTGTATTTGGAAGATCTGAGGATCCACAAAACTGGCGTAACAATGGCTTGATCTGGGGAACCAAGGCAGTGTAGTGGCTGGATAACTGCCTGGTGTCAGAAAAATTTCAAATCCACATCCAGACAAATTTATATAATTCACAAAGGGTACCTAGGATGGCCCAGCAAAAAATTGATACTAAAATGAAGAAGTAAAGGCAGCCATCCTCCGGGTACCAATTTTAGCACGAGATACTTAACCACATACCATAAGAAGGCCAAATTTAGTCTTTTCTGATTGTGACCCAGCCCCATAAATGCAACACCTCACCATTTCTGCTGCATCCTGTTCCCGAAAAGTGCAGTTAAAGGCCGCTGGTTCTATGTGCACCTAAGTAGTGTTCAGGAGGCCCAGATGTGAATATATTAACTAATTATAGCATATAGAGGGAAATCCAACAGCTTTTTAGAAGCCAGATCGACTTACACGTTTTCCTTAAGCCACAGTGATACAGGTCACAGCATGAGTCACTCGATATATATGTTTTAGGCCAGGGACTGCATTCCACTAACTGCTTCACTCTGTTCTTGTTTACTGATTACCCACTTTACACACACACATATATTTTCCCCTCCCCCATTTCCAATTTTTTAAATAAACACAAATAAATTTGTAACAATTTTATTAGTTAACTGTAAAATTTGTCATTTTAATAGATTTTTTCGGATATAAACTCATGGGTTCATGAGCCATGTTTCTTTTAGAATCCACAGGGTGAAAGAGTTAATATACCAATGGCTTGAATAGGGGCCTCTAATTTCATTTACTCATCTTCTACAACAGCCCCTAGGTACAAGCTCATACTTAGTGACACACAGGCTTGCATTTCAAAACTGCATTTGATAATTTGCAATACATTCCCTATTCCCCCATGCTGTCTGCAATGCAATTATTGACAACTAGCCACTCTGCAATGTCTGAGTCATATGAGATAAAAACCCAGAATAATGAACATTTAAATATGCTATTTTTATTTCAGCTTCAAACTGCTGAAGAATCTGTAACACTAACAACATGCACACACAAGCCTTCCTAGTTGTACGTTTTAGCTGACAGTACAACAAAAACGTGAAAAACTAAATAATATACTGAATGCATCCCAACATGTCTGCAGATACAACTGAGATTTTTAGATGGGTAACCACTTGCATTGGTGCTATATGACCAGGATTAAACGCTATCTATGTAGACCAGGGGCCTGGCCAACACAGATTAGACTGAAATGAGTTTAGCTGAGTCAAGAGCCGACATCACAGAATTCGGGGCATTCCCATAAGTTCTCCGTCCCCATCTTCAGCAGCCAGCATACAGTCTCAATATCAATGGTGCCAGTAGCATTCAGATTATATGACCATCTTGCCCTTCTTCTGAGTGTTGAGTATTGGCCAGATCCCCTAGTCACTCCCCGCTGCATCATTCTAACAGATGTGGTGACAGATTGGACTCACATTTCTTTCAGTCAGAGCCAATCTTCCTGAGAGGCAAGGAACTAACATTCCACAAACAAAAAGTCAGTTATGTAAAACAGATGTGCATACAACGCTCAAGTCATGGAACAAGACCAAACTCCAGACGCCGACAACCAACCAGGTCTTTCCACCGGAGTTTACATACAGCTAACACCAACACTGTCTGAAAAACTCATATTACCTGGAAAGTTTTAAGCCAATCATCCATCTTAGGAGGTGGGTTCTCTTTTGAGGGAATCTTTCCACGAGGCATCTGGGCAAGTCTCCAACGTGGAACTTTTGCAAGACTCTGTCCACATACATGACAGCTGGAGGAGAACAAAAAAGACAATACGTGTTGCTAGAATAGTTACAAATCTGCAATACTGCATATATATATATATATATACTGAACTGCAGTCCTGCTCCAGATCTCATTCTCTTGAATACAGACTGTTGGTTCCTTGCCTCTCCAGCAGATGCACTCCGACTTCAAAGGAAGCTCCCCAATTAGTCGACTCTTACGACATGTTTTTGGGGAGGCAGTGGGTCTATTCTTGTTTTCCCCACAACCCACACGGGGGTCACCATCTAGTGAGAATGCAGCTAGACCAAACTGCATATGAGATTTTTTTACAGCAGAAAACCTGGGAGGAAGGCGAGGGGAAACCAAGAAAGGGAAGGAAAAATGGTGTATCTGAAACCTGCAAACAGATGAATGCATCCATCATCCAAGCCACCCGAAAAGTACAAGACAAATATAGAAAACCAGGGAAGCGGGCTACAACCTGGTAACAAAAGTGAGATGACACAAGAAGAAGAAGAAGAAAAAAAGATAAGAAAGATCAGCAGTAGAAAAGGCATGCATACAAAAGGCAAAGACAGGAAAGTAAGTGTTGGCACAGAGAAACGCACAAAGAAATAACAAAGAACACTAAGTATTATGAATCAGTAAAGACATGAATATCTACCTATAGTCTAGCAAGGCACATGATAGACATAATTACTGGTTATCATGTAAAAGCTTGACATGTAGCTGATTTGCCTGCCGTACATTTAACACAACATCTACACAAACATGTACCTGATGAGTGACATTCTCAGCTTCTTCCCTGGCGACATGTCAGTATCCCGCTCTTCATCTCTATCATCACGTGTACTGGCAGTTCGTCTTTTTAAATGCTTAAATAAAATTAATGAAGAAATAAACATTAAACTATGCTGAACCTGGTCTCTTTTCTTTTACAATAACTAGAGACTACTACGGTTCTTGATCTGAATGAACGCTACATAAATATTTTTAGGATATTGTGGTTCACGAAAAAGAAAAAATGTGGCAAATAAATGACACAATTTTTAACATGGCAGAAAGAACAATTATCAAATACATGGATTAAAACAGTCGTCTCCAACCTTTTTCAGGTGTCGCCCCTTTGAATATATGGCAAGACCGACCCCCACCCCCAAACCCACCCCCCCCCCCCCACAACAAAAATGTGATTAAAAAAGAGCAGGAAAAAAGAAAAATGCAAAGTATTGTTAACACAAATTAGGAGAAAAACAAGCATATAATCCAAAGTGTCAATCAAAAACATCAAACTAGTTTAGACAACAGTTATAGAATACATGGTCTCCAGCTTTTTTTTGGCCAGGTGGCGCCCCCTTAAATATAGGCAAGTCCCCCCCCCCCCCCCCCCTCCCCCCCCACCCCCCCCCCCCCCCCCCCCCCCCCCCCCCCCCCTTTCACCTCCCATTCACGTAACAAAATGTGATTAGATAGAGGAAAACAACAAGAAAAATTCCAAGCAATCTGAACAAAAACCTCTAATTCAAAGTGTCAGATAACAAACAAAACAATCACCAATAACTGGTAATTTTGTGTCTAGAATTCAATGTGATAGCTGAAATGTTTTGTCTTGATGCTGTCTGTTATTTCTTTTCTGATGTTGGATAAGTCATTTTGGAGATCTGTCTCCACATTAAGCTGGCAATGCTGTTTTGTTTTTATGACTGTTGAAGCTAAATATCTGGACTACTGCAAGTACAAACACCTTGAGTTGCAAAATTACGCTCCCTAATTCCTCACGCAAACTCTGGGGGTTGGGGTGCCTAACAGGATAGAGACCTCTGGTTTAGAAGTTGCAACCCAGTGACAAGTAAGAAGCTAAACATAGGGATGTGAAGTTTAGCAGGCATGTGCAGGACGTGGTGATTCCCTGGGTGAGCCCAGGACCAGAGTGCTATGTATCGGCCCTGCATTCATGGAAGCCTCCTTCACTGGATGGTGGGTAATACCCACAATCTGCCCCTGCCCTTCCCTGAGGGCTGATCAGTCTACATGAGGCTGCCCTAGGTGGGTTCTCTAGGGGCAACACTCACTGATAAAGGAACAAAGAAGACTACATGAATAAGATCAGGTCAAGTTCCACTAAACTATCCGGGAAGGTTACCCAGGTGAAAAATTGTTAGACGAAGTCAGATGTGCTGGTTAAAGATGCAAATATGGCAGATATGCCGTAAACAAGCACAACGCAAATACATCACAGATGAATAAGAAGAAGAACATTAGGTAGATCGGGTGCTAGACATATATTTTTATAGACCAAGTGGTAAACAATGGATAATGTGGTCAACATCACGCTAGCCATCCCTGATTCCCAGGACACTGCATAACGGGTCAACCCGGGTGCCAAATTCAATCTTGAAAACAAATCTGCCCCAATGCACATCTTAACCCCGGACCTTCAGGCCAGCATCTGGCGACTATGTTACTATGGGCCTCCACAGACGGTTAATTAACAAAAGGTAAAAAGACTATTCATTCCGTTGTGTCACTCTAAATATGATAGTCATGTCACTCTAAATATGATAGTCACTATGTTAAGTACTAGTCATTTTGTGATAAAGGTCATTTTAGCTTTTACAGATCAAACGGCTGTACTTTAACTCCGGGTTGGTTGGCACCTTTCCGTCTTCCCAGAGGATGGTGTTTAATATTATACTATGATGAGGCATGGGACTCACAGTCCCCAGCGATGGCGAGTGACTCGCAAGACCTGCCCTCTCTATAGCACAAGGCACGGGCAACATTGTAGAGACTATGTGTTGCCCATGCACCATGATCTTTTGCTTGATCTGCCTTGTTTATTTCAAAGGAAAGGTATCACCAACATGTTTGGTACAAAGAACGCTGCAGAAGCTGCCGGATCAGAAGAGCACTGTTCTGTCCGCATGTTGGAGCTTCTCCTCCCCACTCCCCTACCAGCTTTTCAGGCTGCATTTAGTCTTCCTAGCATAATAAGTCTTATGGTTAGACTTCTACTTTATAAATATAATATCTGCCTAGTGAGCCCAGCTGAGCTTGAAAGCAATAAATATTTTTGTTTGAAGTTGTTGAACCAAGATACAGTGGGACAGTAACAGTAAATTAATAATTCAAACACACAAGGTTATTATAACATCTGTCTGTGTTGAAAGACAGCAAGGAAATCTTTTAGAATGACCAAGAAACATTAAATGAGAAAGAGAAATAAAACAGAAAAAAAAAATGTCGCCTTGAAAGAGTTAAAAAGGAAATATTGGCCCAATAAGTCATCACCACACTCAAAGTTGTAGGGAACTAAAAGGTAACTCCCCCACAAAAAAATAGCAGTCAATTTTATCACAAGAACTTGTCCGTCAGGGTAAACTACAAGAAGAGGATGCATGGGCACACAACCAATTCACGTCAAGTAATCATATTCTTCAAGAAAGTTAGATGCATTCAAAAACAAATAAGAGAAATGTCTAAGCAACCATGAGTATTAATATTTATAAGACAAAGAAGATGGTGCCACCTTGACACATCCTGAGAATAAACCATCAGAGAATCACCAAAAAAAAAAAGCAGGGAAATGGGAAATACAGGGATTAAGGATATGAGGATGCCCAAAAGGAACCCTTAGATGAATACTGATTAGATAGGTCAAGCTGCTGGACTGGGTTCCATCCATGATATTGAACTGATTGCATAGGATAGAATGGAATATAGAAACAGACTGCGAGCCCTATGTGACATATAATGGCACAACAGGATAATGAATGAACGAATAAATCAATCAATCATATCATTTGCTATTTCATGCAGCTCGCCCCATGACCTCCTTTTCTTTTCAACCTCCCCCTCTAGTTTGTTCTCCATTTGTTTTTTTTTTTGGTCTGCCTTTATTTCTAGACCCCTGTGGATCCCAGCGTAAAGCCCTGTTAATGACAGTATTCTCAGGTTTTCTCAAAGTGTGAGCTTTCCAACACCAACCAGCATCTTTTTTAACCACCTGATTAACAAGTATTTGTCCAGTTCTCACCCCAAAGCTCAAAATTAGAAATTATTTGGTACCCATTTTGATAAGGCTAGCTTAACCAGAGAACTGGCTGATACAGAGATCCTTCCCAGTAGGGTAGGATAGGAGCGACTTTATTCAAATGACCTGCCAAATGATGGTGAATTTGCTTCTTTCCCTGAAGATTCAGCCAGCCATTATGTTAGCCAAGTGGAATAAACTGCCAATTCTGTTATTACAATGGAGTGAACCCTTGGCTACTATGTTGCAAATCACCCTATTACTATAACAGAATTAAACCCTAACTACAATGTTGTAAACTATCCCATTACTACAACGGAATGAAGCTCTAACTACAATGTTGTAAACTATCTTATGCCTACAACCGAATGAAACCCTAACTACAATGTTGTAAACTATCCCATTACTACAACCGAATGAAGCCCTAACTACAATGTTGTAAACTATCCCATTACTACAACAGAATGAAACCCTAACTACAATGTTGTAAACTATCCCATTACTACAACCGAATGAAACCCTAACTACAATGTTGTAAACTATCCCATTACTACAACAGAATGAAACCCTAACTACAATGTTGTAAACTATCCCATTACTACAACCGAATGAAACCCTAACTACAATGTTGTAAACTATCCCATTACTACAACCGAATGAAACCCTAACTACAATGTTGTAAACTATCCCATTACTACAACCGAATGAAACCCTAACTACAATGTTGTAAACTATCTTATGCCTACAACCGAATGAAACCCTAACTACAATGTTGTAAACTATCTTATGCCTACAACCGAATGAAACCCTAACTAGAATGTTGTAAACTATCTTATGCCTACAACCGAATGAAACCCTAACTACAATGTTGTAAACTATCCCATTACTACAACAGAATGAAACCCTAACTACAATGTTGTAAACTATCTTATGCCTACAACCGAATGAAACCCTAACTACAATGTTGTAAACTATCCCATTACTACAAGAGAATGAAACCCTAACTACAATGTTGTAAACTATCTTATGCCTACAACGGAATGAAACCCTAACTACAATGTTGTAAACTATCCCATTACTACAACGGAATGAAGCCCTAACTACAATGTTGTAAAACTATCTTATGCCTACAACAGACTGAAACCCTAACTACAATGTTGTAAACCATCCTATCCCTATAACAAAATGAAGCCCCAACCCTAATGTTGTAAACTATCTCATAACAACGGAATGAAGCCCTAACTACAACGTTGTAAACCATTCGATAACAACAACAGAATGAAGCCCTAACTACAATGTTGTAAACCATCCTTTAACTACAATAAAATGAAGCCCTAACTACAATGTTGTAAACCCTCCTTTAACTACAATAAAATGAAGCCCTAACTACAATGTTGTAAACCCTCCTTTAACTACAATAAAATGAAGCCCTAACTACAATGTTGTAAACCCTCCTTTAACTACAATAAAATGAAACCCTAACTACAATGTTGTAAACCATCCTTTAACTACAATAAAATGAAGCCCTAATTACAATGTTGTAAACCATCCTATAACTACTATAGAATGAAGCCCTAATTACAATGTTGTATACCATCTGTCTGCATTAAATGAACCCTCATTATGGCTCCCAAGAAAGTAAAAAGCAATAGTGGCAGTATGTAAAGAAGCCTATGTGTATTATAGTCGAAAAAAAATTTAAAATGAGAATGGTGTGGGTTTTTCTTACACCGCCAAGCAGTACCATATGGCAAAATCAACTATCTGCACTAATGTAAAGGAAAAGGATGTGCTAAAAAAGGCTGAGATGGCTAAAGATGTGACTATGTTAACAAAACGTCTCAAGCGTTGGGAAAAAAATAAAAATTACAGTTAGTTTGGATTAAAAAATATAATATGTAAAATAAATACACTCACCAAAAGCCTGGGCAAAGGAGGTCCTTCATTCTCCTCATCTTTATGTGAACCAAACCCTGATCGTGTCGTTCTCACAGTATCTGATTGTCTCCAGTCTCCTCTACTGCTAAGCTCATCCTCATTCTCCTCTTCATCATAATCACCATCGTCGTTGTTATCACAGTCCTCATCTAAACTCTCATCAGGCTGACTCAACAGACTCTCCTCCTCATCGTGGCTGCTCTCCCTATCTGAAATGCTTCCGTCATCACCACCAGCCAACATATCATCGTCACCAAAAACTGAATTGTTGTGAACAGCACTGCTGTCATTGTTGGTGCTGTGTGCACAGGAACCAGCACTCCGTTCGTCTAACTCTTCACTGCCATCGTTGCAGGACTCCTCGGCCTGGATCCTGCTCCCGTTGGAAACACGGCCGGAGTTCGCCCCACTTCTAGTTACTATAAAACTTGTCGATGCACTGTCTGCTGGAGGGGTTTCTGATGAACATCCTTGGCACAACCGAAGTGCTGCACTCTGGGAGCGGGTGAAGTGGCACCTTGTTGGAGAACTATGACTGTTTGCACACTCTGTGCCGCTCCCTGACAGCTCTGACGAGGCAGTGTCTACACTATCCTGGCAATGTTGTCGAGTGGCTCTTCTCTGACTGAAAATAAAGATAAAAAATTATTAATTCACTAATATTTTTTTTAAAACATTTGAACTGCTGGTCTCAAGGTATTGGGTCTGAATCAGCATCATGAGAGATTTCTTACACTGACATAAGTACCTGAGAATGACACAGAAAGTAAAGGCAGCCAGCAAGATGCTAACATCAGTCATCAAGGATTGATTGGTCTATGAAATAAAAAGGCCTAACACCTTATACCAGATCTACCACTGCTGTAATAATGGTTCTCAGGAAAATGACACAAGCATTCACTAAAAAATTATAAGTATTCACTAATAAATTAAAAGCATTCACTAATAAATTAAAAGAATCCACTAATAAATTATAAACTTCCAACAAATTATAAACATTCACCAACAAATCACAACACTCACCAACAAATCACAACATTCACTAGCAAATTATAAAGTCACTAACAAATTATAAACATTCACTAACAAATTATAAACATTCTCTAACAGTTGTGTAAGGTTCTGGAATACCTCCCCCTGGAAAAGTGATTACTGCAGGGAATAATGTGCGAGCACAAACACACACAAAAGGCTAAACAAAAATGCAGAGATGTAGTTATATAGAATGATGAGAACACCATGGACAAATGAAATGTGTAATTAAGATGTACTGAAAGATATTAACTCTCTCAGCCCAGAAACACACAAAACCTTCAAAGTTTATTTTTTAAACGGGTTACTAATATATTAAATGTGGTACAAATTTACTTATCCGTTATTTTTTAATGCTTTTTCCCTCAAAATACACGAAGATATATAATTATAATAATCTTTCAACATGAACAGGATGAAGAATGAAATGGAATACACTCCCCCTACTAACTCCCACCCTGAATCCTCGAACCACTCCGCCACTTTTAACACACGTGTATATGCAAAATTTATGATGCTCACAAGAATTTTACACAGCTAGAATAATATGTCACAGTTGTTTAATAAAATTCTTTCTATATTCACTGTTCTGTCTATCCACAGCGTTCTGTATTGTGTACTGCCACCAAATCGTTATATCGATTTTCTTCAATTCCAAGATGTCAAACTGCCCAACCTTTTGTCTCTCTTCCTTCTAAAGTTTTGGTTTGTGACATAGCAATTCAGGTTTTCTCTTCTTACCCCTAAAGAACTGACGTCTTATAATAAGATCCGAATAAGTTATCTTTGTGAGCTAAATTCTTACAAGACATAATTAGTTGCTTCTCGATACCACTGTCAAAACCAACGCAAGGCCTTTAGCTGGGATCGAACCCGGCACCCTGAAACGCATTTGCAACGCCTAAGCCAGAGACGCCGACATAATTACACTTCTTATTTGCCCTGGTTTCTCATCCTTATTTCTGCAGCTTTGATGTTATTTTTCACTAATAAATTTAAAATTAACATTTATAAAAATATAAATGACAGCCATAAAACAAAAGACATGACACCAGGCCGCACAAAGAAAATGACGAGATCTACTGCGGGTTAACCCTTGAGAAACCAAAAACTGGCAATACCGTGTGGTAGCATTTCCATAAAAGACTTGCTATAAAGACATGTCTATGAAATGTCTAGCTAACACAATTTATTGCAACTGCATATAATTTAAGTCTGAAAGGGGATGATCAAATTCACAAATATAGCACTTGGGATATTCCCTCACTGGCTACAGTGATTAGTGTGTGACTTGTATCACACTATAATTAGTTTGCAGAACCAATAGTGATGTAAGCCAGCTGATTCTACTCTGCATTTGTTTTGATTCATCCTCACCTTCTTCACCAGCTTTAAACACCAGCGGAAAATTCTGGTTCTACATCCACTTCTGGACTCTAGTCCGGTTCCAGAACCTGAGTGGTGTGTGCACATTTGTTTTACTGATCTGGCTCATTTGTATGCAGACTATTGGTTCCTTGCCTCAGAGGCAGATGCACCCTGACTTCAAAGGAAGCTTCCAAATAGTAGATTCTTACGACATGCTTTTGGATAAGCAATGGGTTTATTCTTGTTTTGCCCACAATAGGACCCCGCAAACTACATGGGGTTCATTTTGACTGATTACTCACTTTAGACGTAGTCTTTGTTCGTGTTTTGGGTGATAAACTGATTTTGTGCAACTGTTTAGGCGATGCATAGAATGTTTTCTACGGATTTTTGTTTTAATAAAAATTAAAATTATGCGAGCTTGGCTATTGCTTTTGTTTTTATAGATCACTGGGGTGAAATGGTTAAACAATGATGTCAATCATTCCACGGTCGCTAATTTACAGAACAATAAATGATCAGTTGCTGTTATAGATCATTACCCTGTCAATACAAAGTGTACGTTTCCTTAAATCATTCTTTACCAAATTCATACTCTAAGTACTCAAAGGTTAGGCCTGAAAAGTAAAAAAAAACAAAAAACTGTTAAAGTCGAGAGGATCGACTTCACTGCAAACAGGTTTTATCCAATATCACCTGATCTCTCTCCACAGAAAGGTTAGCTGGCTGTCAAAAGCAAAGCACAAACTCTGCAGCTCTAGTGATGATCTGCAGGGATCTATGTACAATGCTCACTTGTGAACACAAGACACATCCATGAAATAAACCCACAGGTGGAAACAAATGACTTGACAGCGGAGACTAAAAATTATACTATAGAACTGTTAGATTGGGGGGGGGGGGGGGGGGGGGGCAAGTAGGTTAATGTAACAAACAACTAGATAGTTTACAAGAAGTAAAGAAAGTATGTCATGGTTGTTGAAACCAGCAAAAATATGGTTAACTGCTCACTGCTGAATGTTTTAACTCTGAGTCCCAGTGGGTTCAGCATCACAGTATGTAAAGAGACATACAATCAGCACATCATACGTTAACTGGGCTACTGGGTCAGAACCTTTAAACGTATGATGCGTTCTGTGGGACTCAGAGAGTTAATGAAATAGGCAAAAATAAAACAACTTACGCTCTTGGACCATTTTTCTGTTTAGCTTGTGAACTCCTGGGACGGCAAACAATCCGTCCCCTGTTTTGTTCAATAAGGGCAGGACTGATGCCGGGAACTTGTGAGAGGTCAATTACGCTGGTGAACCCCCCACTTTCCTGCAGATGATACAACAAAAAGCAACGCTTCAGGACAGCTGTTAACAATTGTATTTACCTTACTGGCAGATGCTCTAATGAATTCCCCTCTTCTTTGCCTTTACCGGCAGTAAAGTCAGACAGCAAATTCTGGTTGTTCATTCACTTCTGCAGTTAAGTCTTGTTGCAGAGTTTTGCATGCAGGCTGCTGGTTCCTCGCCTCTCAGGCAGATGCACTCCAACTTTGACGGAAACCTCTAATTAGTCTACTTTTATGACATGCTAGTAACAGAGCATCGGATATATCATCCCACCCCCCACAATGGGGCCTCAGAACCCACATAGGGAATGAACTCACTAGCCTGGCTATTTTTGCATTTGATGAATTACTTTAGAGTAAACCATCATCATCATGTAGCAGAATCTCACTCCTATTTCAGCCCGTTAGAAAGATACCTTTTTCCCTTCTTAACCCTGTCACGCCAAGAAATCCATTTTCCCAACAATAATGGGTTTTTGATGATATGAATGGAGTCTTTAACCAGTGGCCACTATGCCTATATGACAGCTTCAGTAATGCTGTTGTTAGAAACTGTGACATCACAGTTACATAACAAATATTTTTTTGCTCCTGGAAAAAACCCACCCTTGTCACGGTCAAAGGGAAGGAAAGCAGTTAATTTATTGCTTTATTTATATTTAGTGATTTATTCCTGTGACAAAAAAAATTTTTTTGCAAGATAATGTGATTAGAAATATTAATAGAAATTATTTCAGTGATGTGATGTTTATTTGACAAATTAACAGCAAGCACACGGGTGTAACCCATGAATGATCCATTCTGCTTCTAACTCAAGCCTGAGTCTGAAGAATCTCAGCACAGTGCATGAACTCCTTTGCACCAGCGAGGATCCTGTAATACTTTGGGTAGATTTTTAACTTCAAATTTTGCCCAGGCAGCGCCGTTAGACTACTCTTTTCGATTTCCAACCGCCAAGGGATTTTTTTATGTGCACAAGAAGACACAGGGGAGTTTGATCTTACTACCCAGAGACCCGGGGATATCACTAGAAGTCCACGAGAATGAATCCCAGCCTTTACCAGGGCTTGAACCCGGGACCTGATATGGAGTCTTTAACCAGTGGCCACTATGCCTATACAACAGCTTCAGTACTGCAGTTTTTAGAAACTGTGACATCACTGTTGCATAACGATCTTTTTGTGGGATGTGATGACCAGAGTGTAGCTGTGGACTTTATCATGCCTGCCTGTTTGACCAGTGGTCTGTGTGTGGCTTTGACCCACTGAATAAAATTCAAATTCTCCAGATGCAAAACGTCTTCTGCTGCTTCTTCTTTTATTAAGAGTTGAGTTCAGAAAATTAAAAGGATGTGTATTTGTTTCAAACTAAATTTGGAAAAGTTGTCTTTCTTTTAAATAAAAACGTTTATTAGGGGCGAAGAGGTTAAGTTAAAAAGTTTTTAAAAAAAAGTCTAACAAAACTGACCCCGCAAATGTCTGGGAGGTGATGTAAGAACCATTTACTGAGTGCTATTAGATGAAAACATATGGACCTAACATCATATACCAAATATGTTAAGGAAACAGAATCTTTCTTCAAATATACGTCTCCATCTTCCTGTGTGGGCTCCATGGGCAAAAGAATAACCCCAACCCGAATGTCATAAAAGGCTATTAATCATGAGTCTGCCGAAAGGGCATGTAATGATCGAATAAAGCACAATACTGCTACCACCGCTTTCAGGGCAAACACTGAAGCAAAAACAGTAAATTCTGGAACACATTCTGTAGCATCTGTTAGTGTCATCCTAACTTAATCAAGCCTGTAACACAATAAATAGACACTGTAATCACATTTCTCTACTTTCGCATACTTTGTAATTTAGAGGTGTCAGGTTCCATTCCCAGCTGCAGGTGATTTGACAACAAACTGCCTTGTGTTTGTTTTAACAGTGGTATCAAGAGTCGACTGGTCAGAAGCAAAATCCAACTACTGAACATAAAATTGCCTAGTAAAATTACAAACAGCCAGATAATGCTTGGGAAGGTTCCGCAATATCCTGTAAAGAACATGCAACTAACTTTCGCATAAATTATTAAAGCAATGAGTCTGACAGAGCCGACAAGCTGAAATCCAATAATGCTTCACTCAAGCCTTAATGACAATTATAAGGGAAATAAAAATTCTTTGGTGAAATTAATATTGTCACAGCTGCATAAATTATGAACAGAGGATTGCAAGTTTGGAGAACTGCACCATGGGTCATAAGGCCAGATCACACACTTATCTGGTATGGTGTTTTGTAGTACACAAACTTTCAACGGGCTCTCTTGAGGTGTTATCGTAATTACAATATTCTATTAATTACATACCTGCGCCTGACAAAATATATATGTATAAAAGTGAGTAATTGAAAACAGGACTATATTATAATTTGATGCTTGCATAAAAGTGGCCTATTACAGATTTTGTCAACGCTAATGCTGCCCACAAAGGGCCCCATAACTGAGTATAGTGTCATTTTTTCTCAGCAAACTGTGTGTGCTACTTTCTCTGCATAACTCACAGGGTGCATGATCATTCAAAACTCTGTAGACCAGTGTTTCCCAAACTTAGTCGCTGCGCCTTATTTCAATAAAAAATTTTCCACAGCGCCCTAACCTAAGTAAAAGTATGAATATTGGCATGTAAGAGACTTTTAAAAAAATTATGTATCTTTGGATATTTTGCGGCTCCCCGGGGGGCACAGTTTGGGAATCATTGATGTATTCTGATGCGATGGTAGGCATTGCTGTGTGATACTATAAGTTAAAAATAGAAGGGATGCTAATTATTACGCAATTGTAATAAATATCTCCTTGCCTTCTGCAAATCATTAAGAATTTATTGTTATGTATAGTTGTACAGTACCAACATAATAAAAACCTTTTTAAAACCTCTTTCTGAGAACAAATAGACACCATATGTTTTACGACTCCATTGCAATTCCTGAAAAAAAATCCTTTAGAAATCACCAGCTAACGAACTAATGCCAAGGTAAAATCTTTGCCATCATGCGCATCTCCTCCTATCTTATTCTCCATTTGTTTTTGGTCTACCTTTTGTTTTAGAATAATGTAGGTTCAAGTGCAAGCACACTTAGTCATTAATAATTATTATTAAATGTTTTCCTCAAGGTGTGTCCTATCCAGTGCCATTACCTTTTACCATCTCCTCATTACCTTCTTCCATCTTGTATTCACTAGCTGCTTCGTCTGGCAGAAAGTTCAGGTTGTTCACCCACTTCTGGACTTCAATCTTGTTCCAGAACTTGAGTTTTTCACGCACATCTATTTTACAAATCTGGCTTATTTGGATGCAGATCGTTCCTTGCCGCTCAGGCAGATGCACCCCGATTTGTTTGTGTATTTGTCATCTCCACACTGGAGGTTGGGCATAAAAGACATGTGCATCCATTATTGTCTCTGGAAATCTTGTGAACTGAGGCCACTCTCGTACAACTGCCCTCCCCATGTGGATCCCTTGGCCCTAAACTCCAAGATCATGAAATTGTTAAACATATTCACTAACCTCTAAGCTTCATTTCAATCCCCCAAAAATCAACAATTCATCATTTACTGTCAAAAACTTGGCACAAAGATAACAGAGTATCTCTCAAACAGCTGCATGCAGCAGTCTGTGAACAATTAAGCTGTAAGCTCAGTCTACAGCTTCAGTTGTATAGATCAATCAAAGGCTGCACAGCAGGCTTTGTTACTGTTAACATCTCCCCAAGTTTGTGCAGCCACTAAATGGGCTTCTCTGTTCAACATGTTTTCAGCTGCACCCCAGGATAAAATTATCTGTGTGTTCCCTGCACAAAAACATGTGTGCGTGTGGGGCGGATTCAGTCTGCGAATGTCAATGAAGCATGCACAAAAAAATTATTACCAGGTAATTGCAAACACAATAAATTTTGACAGCCAACAACGACAGAAAAGCAAAATTGTGGTGGTGGTGGTGGTTTGGGGGGGGGGGGGGGAGAATTGGAAACACCCACTTGTTATTTCTTAATAAAACAGTTGTCACTGCCTGGTATGTAAACCTACAGGAGATCAATTTCGCAGCAGACAAATATCCTAAACAACCCAAATTAAACTAGACATTGTTTAATGCAACCATAACAATTACATTTAATATAGATGAAATATTTTAGTTTATGAAGACTTAATTCAGGCCCCCCCCAACATTCAGACAGTGACAAGTTAAGTGTTTTTTTTTTTAGACTCCACCCCCCCCCAACCCCCCCCCCCCCCCCCACCTCCCCTTTTTTCCCCCCCCCCCCCTCCCCCCCCCCCCCCCCCCCCCCCCCCCAACAAGCTTGTCATAAAGGCTGACTAATTGGGAATGTTTCAGGTGAAGTCGGAGTGCACCTGACTGTGAGGCGAGGAGCCAACAGTCGACACAGAAATAAGCCAGATCTGTCAAACTAATGTGAATTCAAAAGTAAGGTTCTGTAACAAGGCTGAAGTCCAGAAGTGGATGAAAAACCAAAACTTTACACAGAAGTTTACACTCCGCAAACTGAAGAAAACAACTAGTGAAATAATTTGGCCATATAACGCAGATGCTAACAAACAGTATACCACAGCAAGCAATGATTGCACAGACCAGGTGGTAAGTAAAGCAGAGGTTGACCATGCAAATGATGGACAGAGGGAATAAGAGACCCTGGGAATCCCTATTTACGAAGCACACAAACTGGCATTTTCCTGAAAATTATATTTCATGATGACACTGTAAGGTATCAACAAAGGCATACATTAAAACAAATGGTCAAGAGAGATACAAAAAAACAATGCAAACCTTCCTGTGTTTGACAATGGCTTCAGCTCTGTGCTGCCCAACACCAGCAAGATTTTCAAGGTCGCTGACTGTTGCTGTGTTGATATCAATTTTCTTTCCAGCCATCAATCAAAAGTCAACTGCCATCAGCATGTGACTTTACTGGGGATATAACAAATATTCTTAATATAAATGATTTTGTTGGTGGGGGTATATGCTGGGGCCGCATTAGACATATAATGCTACTCATATTTTTATAGACCCCTGACTGCCTTTACTTTTAAGGACATTATTTGATACCCATTTTAGGTTGGGCTGACCTAGGAGCACCAGGAGAAGACAGTCTTATAAACCACTTTTTTGGAGTCTGTTCAGCAAGAATAGGCCCACAGAGAGCTTTCTGGCTCACACTAATTTATATTTATAAGAGTGTCTGTTGAGTCTGCAGTGACTGTTCAGTTCAAGTGGTAATTGAGCAAAAAAAATTTCATGGTTATAAAGTGTTCATTTTCCGAGCTGTTTCTGATTTTTCTCCTAATGAGGGTTTTGACTTAAGGAAACAATAGGTATCAGATAATTTCTGGGATTTTCAGGAAAGGCAATAAGGAAGGTAACTGGCCACCCAACCTCAGGTAGTAGTCTTCTTCTTCTAGTGCGTTTATCTGAAAATAAAAGTGTGCTGTGCCCGTTTACAACATGGCTGCGATGTTTACGCCTTTTAGCCAACATATCTGACTTCTGGAGGCATTTGTTGCTGGGTTAGCCTTCCTCGTAGTGGGACACTGCAATCTCACTGTTGTTTGGATGTAGTTGCCTATAACCATGTTCTTCTACCTGTGGTCTGTGGACCGAAACCTGTCAATGGAAATTCCCAGATGGTACAAAAAAATCATCTAGCACCTACAGTCTCTCAGAAATAACACTCAAATCACAAATATAAGATTTTCGGCTATCTTTCGAATAACGGTCCCAAAGGAACTACGCAGACAGTTAACCCAAACAGAGCCTCACAACACAGACAGTTAACCCAAACAGAGCCTCACACACATGTAAAATTTGCTTTTTTTTTTGCGTCGATTCAACCGTGTCAAAAGTAGTATTAGCTGCGCATGACATTTTCGCGAAACGCAACTGATTTTTTTACGGCGATTACACGGTGGCTAAACAAGGATTAACAGCGGACGAAAAAAATTACCGACACGCGACAATACTTCCGATAGCGCTATCCTACGGCAGGGCCCGGGTTATATGTAAGTTGCCTACACTGCCACCTCCGAGAAGTATCCCCCATTGTTTTTTTTCAAGTCAGGCTCGGCTACGACCCAAACCCATATATTTCCGATCTGCAGGCGAGCGTCTAGGCGCTACACCACATCGACTCCCCCTATGTACTATTACCGTCGTTATTTAGCAGTTTCTTGTAACATTATTTGGTAATCTAATGAGGCTGGTAACTGCACCAAAGAAATTACACTGCTGTAGCAACTCACATTAGGGATGATACACACTGCAGATCATAATAGTGCTATGCTTAAGTGTTCCTGGTCTATCAGGATGGAATTAGGTAATCGCTAAACTTGGATTCCAAGTTAATAAAACTTTAAAAAGGCTCACAAGAACTGCATCAAGTGTCATTTCAATCAACTCTCAGCATGGATAGCTGACAGCAATTAATATATTCAGCAAAATATCATTAACACAAATTCCTAAGGACGAAAATCAAGAGTTTTGTGTTAAAAAATGTATGTGCAAACCGAGGACTAATGGTAAAATATCCCTCATTGGACCAAAAAATATGTCATGTTAAGTGAGTGTTCTTCATAAGAAAGTTTGTGTTAACATGATTTTACTGTATATTCTCCAAGGAGATGCCTTCAAAACCAAACACATCAGTTTTGATAAGAACACAGATGAAGGTGATGATGTGGTGTACATGCGTGGATCAGCGATTTGGGACAAGCAAAGTGCATAGGCTTTCACAGATGCTCAAAGGAGGAAAAATTATCAGTGCAGATGGGTAGCCCTTTTATTTGCTGTAACAATATGCTGCCTGACAAAGAAGACCAAGGCTCCAACAAGGGTACTGACATGACTGGTTACATAAGTGTTAACATATTTTGTGCACAGTGAGTTACAATGAATATGCTCTTGAAAATCCAGGCACTTCACAGATAGTCTACCTGATATCTTTGTTTTGGGTCCTACAGATGTCTGAGGTAATCAGGGTAAAGATGACCAGGTGATTGCTGTTATCAGTGATGATTATGACAAAAGGCACTACCCCATAAGCCAGCAGATTATCTGGTGGACACTGCAGTTGCTATATGTAGGGTCTGGTATTAGACATAGATAGCACCATCAATGACAGACATAACGCCATATCATGAAGACGGACAGGACAAATAACAGACTCAATATACCATTGCACGAAGATGAAAATGACCAAGGGTATGACTCAGCAAGGATGGTAGACATAGATATGCAACCCAGAGCTGCCAGACATCAAAATTTCACTATAGGCACAAGATGTTTGATAAATCAAAAATGATAAGGCATATTTACATCTGTGGAACTATTACAATCTGTCACAATCTGGTTATTAGTCCGTCGTGTCTTTCCTCTGAGGAACTCAGAGCAAGAGAAAGACCACACAAAATGTGGAATAGCAGCATCAACAAAAACCTTAGATAAACGAAGACCAGCTTACAAAGAGCATTAAATATGATTACTACAATTTCCTCAAAACCTTAATGAGAAAGAAAAGGTAACAATGATATAACTATAACCAACGATGCTTAATACGATGTAAGAGTCAGTCAGTTATTCATACAATGTAACTCACTGTGTGGGTTCTGATGCCCTGTTATGGGGAAACTAGAATTTACCCAAGCATGTCATAAGAGTTAACTAGTCAGGGGTTTCCTTTGAAGTTGGAGTGCATCTGCCTGAGAAGTAGGGAACCAACACTGCATACAAATAACCCAGATCTGTATAGCTCGTGAACACAACACTCAAGTTCTGGAACAAGATTTAGGTCCAGAAGCAAAAATTTCTGCTGGAGTTTTCAACACGCAAAGAAGAAAGTTGACACTGTGAGTTAAACTATCTGTAAATATTAAAACAGATTTAAAGTTCTGACACCTTTGTGTCTCCATTCAAGTTGTACTGTGCAAGATCTATGAACATATCGGTTCTCAATGCTGTCATGAATCTATAGATGGGCTTCTTACAAAGTACAAGAGATCCATCAATTATGATCAATGCTATCCTCAGTTACTACTATTATACTTCTTTATTCAAGTGCCACTGAGATCATTAATAATAATACTACTCTAATCAATGACTTGTGGTGTTCATAAAACTCAGCTATAATAAAATCAGCTACTGGCTTGGTCAACCATGAATCCCATCTTATGTTTGCAGTGACGAGTATTTCTTACCAACGACTGGTGGTGTTCTAGTTACAGTAGATTGTGAATGCTAACTAAAACTGACGAACTGTCAGTCAAAGGTCGCGTCACATTCAAGGCCAAGCAAACTAAATACTAGTTCGTTCCAAAGTATTAAACAACCTTAGTACCCGAACAAAAGAATTTGCCATCAATGGCACCACAAAGCCGCGTCTTCCATTTATCATCAATAACACAAAAATTGACTACCAATAAAATCAATCAACTGTCGTCACGTAAATTTCGCAGCTAGCCTAGCGAAAGACTGTCGTCAATGTGTGGTAGGAGAGCACCTGTTTGAGAACAAAAAATGGCAGCCTACGTGATAGAAACATAAACTTACACTATAATCGACCCGAACACAGAGTTAACTGCCGTAGAAATGAGTGCCAGTCCAGGATAAATAGCCAGTGCTAATGTATGCAATGCTATCTCGCAACAATTAAGCCAAGAGACATCCCAGTCTAGGAAATTCAGCCATCTTCTCCCTGTTCAGACTTCCTTTGCCTTTGATGTTACGGACAAACCCGAGGCGAATCGGAAAGCGACGACTTCTGCGAGATGCAAGAATGGACCAAATTTAAACGAAACGATAAATAAAGTTATCAGTCTCACTCGATCTGTTTATTTAATATTTAGTTGTGTTTGTTTGTATCTGCACACGTGTAAAATTCTGCAAACATTTATGTCACAACCGCGGTAACGATTGGACCGCTATTGAAACCACGCCTGCACTTAAACCCTTAAGCTCTCACAAACGTGATGGCCCTGGTGAAACAAAGGCCCAGTGCTAAAAATAAGTTTCTCAATTATTTTCCTAAGAATTCCTTTCTGATTATCGTCTGAAAAGAGTGGGAGGTTAGCTTAGTTCTTATAAAAGCCAAGAACAGTGAACTGTATGAGAAGTTAGTAACATCTGTGCATAAAAAACTGAAAGATTACGCTGTTTATACATAAGAAATTACTCGCAATAATACAATAAAAATACAACTAGCAGGTCTGGCCGTCACGAAGAAAACATTGAGTGAGTTCAGCCACCCCCCTCCCCACTAACAACGCCTCCCTAATAACCTCAAAAGTTTTCTGAATAAATAATTGGTGTGTGGAAAAATAAGGGGAAGCGGCGGGGGGGGGGGGGGGGGGCAGGGCATTAAGTAGCCCAATTAAAACACAGTTTGCGACCACTACATCTATCGAAGATGAACTAAATTTATAATGTCTGACTGTTCGTTTCTCTGTTTTTTTTTTTTTTATTGGCACAGGAGCGGAGCAACTATTGGGGTGATCCGTTTGCCATGAAGCTGAAACTAATTAAGAGGACTGAGGGAGCCGCCGTGGTGTAGCGGCTAGACGCTCGCCTACGGATCCGAATGTTGTGGGGCTCAGGTCCTGACGGAACAAGACTTTCAAAAGTGACCTTGGCTCCCAAGTCGAAGTAGTCTTAAATGGGTTCCAGGTAAAGTCCAGGGAAGTAAAGGCAGTCGGTGAGATGTTGATCATATTATCCACCTAGTGCCCTATACAACCGAAGGTGTAGAAAACAGCTCTTTACTTTACATAGGAGTCCATCCGGAGAGCCAAGCAAGAGAGAACCAACTGCACGTGATATGGTTGGACCTCGCCAACGCTTATGGGTCGGTACCCGATAAACTATTGTGGCAGGCCCTTCGAATATTC